TATCATTTCTTTTGAATAAAAGCACAAGATGGATGTCACTACAATACTAATTTGTGTTTCATAAAATATGGTAGCGCATTATTACTTTACTTTGTTTGAAAACTATTCTAGAAAGCAGGATACAAGAAATCATTAAAAAGGCCTTGTCGCATACGACTTATTTACCACTTCCGTGTCACTGAGAATGTTCTAGAACCGTGCTGTGTCTGGGTGGAATATTCTAGATTTTGTTTGGAAACTGATTGAATAGGTAATAGAACACTGTAGGAGGCAATAGAAGGTAATGGAACATTCTAGAAATTTGTAGTAAGTTCCAGACTCATTATGTATGCTGATGTAATGGTCTATTTATAGACAGTGTGGGTATATATAGGGGAGTTGTTTAGCACCGAGATCAGATCGGAGATCTCATTGAATTGTATTGGAGTTTAAGTATCTAGTCATTGGAGTAGTGGAGTTTTACTGCGTTATTGTACTTGATGTTCGCAGAGTATAATAATACCAGTACCAGTTGAAACCTCATCTGTTGGCTCAGTGTTCGTATTTTATCATCGCCGCCAGGGAAGTCTTCTGTTACTGTTGCCATTTTGGTATTTGAACCATCACACCTGTACTATACCAATTACGGTAATATTATGTTGCGTGTGACAGGCCTGAATAGTTTGTATCATAAAGTGAAACTCAGTAATGTCAATTTTAGTTTGAAAACATAAGCTATTTTGTTATCAAACAATACATTGGGATGAAAAGACAAAAAATTATGTTGAAAATAGTGTGAAAATAGGAGTGATCAATCAACTCAACAGTTATGTCGTCATAATTCTTTTGTCTAAACAAAACAGGAAGTGCATGTGCATGATGTACAAGATGGAAACTTATGCAGAATATGCAGTGTCAAAAGAATGGTGCACCTGTTCATCCATAACACCAGAGGACCCCCCCCCCATTGATTATGTCATGGACGAACACATTCCGCGACAAGTAATTATTTTTATGTCAATTAAAATCTTCAGAAACACCAAAAACAAAATTAATAAATATACAGACTGATCTAAATTCTACTAAATTTTTCAATTCCAGTATTAATCATCAGTCATCAGAAAAGGCAGTATTACAATTTCATTAAGCCACAGTGCATACAACATTCTTTTACTGCATTGTCTCATTTACACAATATATATATGCAGTGATCATTAAAAATACTGTGGAAAACCTTGGTCCGGCTATATTTTCATGTTTTTTACTTTAAGTTTAGGACAAATCCATGAAAAGGAATTAGTGCGACACAGAAGCTACTTTGATACATAGCCTAGTTGATATCACCGACTATGTCAGGCAGATGAATGTGAAAGTATCTTTTATTCATGGAGTACAATTTGAATGGCCCACCCATTATTTACTATGTATACAAAGCATTATTTGGGTGTTAATTCTTATGTACATAGAAGTATTTGTTTGGATTACAACTTTGAATTGAATAAACCACAGAGTCCAATAAACAAACAACTACCACATAGAAACTGCAGGCATGATTGTTAAAATATTGGCATCCAGATCTGCACTAATTGCTTTAAATCTTCTGAAACAAAAATAATTAAGTTTAAAAATGGACACACAAAGTTTTAAAATAGATTAAAGCGCTAGGCTGTTGTAGGATTAACTCTCACTTTATTTTCTACTGGATTAAAAAGACGTACATTCCTAGGGGTAGATGAGCCATACTTTACGTACATGTATTATTATATACCTTTTTTTACTAAATTTACTGTAAAAATGTTTGTAAAATTATCAGAAGTTTGTAAAAAAGCACAATTTACAGTTGATTATTTACAATTCTCACAAATACACCATAAATATACAGAAAAATAATACTATAAATAGTAATACGTAGAACAAATTCATCTTGAGTGAAATACAAACCCACCCCACCGCCCCCCCCCCCCGAGTATACTTTAAAAAGTCGGTAATTATGAACAGCTACATGTTGTTCAGGTAGATAGAACTATATAGGGACCTTTAGCAGCACAAACGAACGAACGAACGAACGAACAAACAAACGAACAAACAAACAAACGAACAAACAAACAAACAAACAAACAAACAAACAAACAAACGAACGAACGAACAAACGAACGAACGAACAAACGAACGAACAAACGAACAAACGAACGAACGAACGAACAAACGAACAAACGAACGAACGAACAAACGAACGAACAAACGAACGAACAAACGAACGAACGAACGAACGAACGACAACCACCTGTCCTCTCGACAAAAACAAATGTACAGATTGCGTCAATCCATGCAAAATATTCTCAAACAGAATCTCTCACTAGAAATTGAATCCCTCAAATTTAAAAAGAAAAAAAAAGTATATTTCGAAATACTAGTTAAGGTTCACAAAATCCCATTTATTCACACATAACAGACTGTAAATCTATAAATATAAAATATACATGGTTATACATGCCATGGTTTACACTCTGTAAGTAAAAGGTATGTCAAAACTTTGCTCCTTCTTTACTCCCCTTTCAAAAATAAATACACTATATATTAAAATGTTTTTACATTACTGTCACTTTAATTTTAATACACGATATCAAGACCATCAACAAGTCTATTAAAAATTTATAAGTTTAATGTACACATAAATAGCTATTATTAACAAGGCACTTGCACTACATCCTTATTTGCATATTTTGATAGATTTGACAAACATATGTATTATTGTTTTCATGTCACAAGAATAAAAATACATTATTATACACAGTGCCCTCTAGTGGCACATTATATACAATTATTGAGAGATGTAGCCTATAAACATATTTATTTAGTGAAATGATCTGTTTGCTTATTACAAACGTTGAGATAAATTATCAAATTGAAATACAAATGGAAGTGATCAGATCACAATCTATTCAAACAACACAATATAAAAGTATGTATTGTTATACTAAACCTGGCAGTAATACAGTAAATGTTATTGCACACACAAAGAAAAGTATACCTGGTGAAATAATTAAAAAAGTGCAATCAATGTCCAAATCTGATGAAGATTTCCTGTCTAATCATATCTGAAACCAATATGGTAATTTTATGAATAATTCAGGTGTCTGCATCCGTGATTGTAATTGGTGATTGTTTCGTCAAGCCATACAGAGGATTATGTATACCGAGCACATTCTCTTCTCCCATGTCGCCTAACTCACATGCATTGGATATATGAAATGTAGAAGCAAACATATCACCAGAACTGTAAACAAAACAAATTAATATACCATATAATGAAACAGCTTCCATGATAACAAATGAAATTTATTTTATCTATTCACAAAATAAATTCTTTTTCATGACACTTTTCGCAGTCATATTCATAATGTGTTTTTTTTTTTCCACCCATGATTGAGTTTTGACAAAAATTCTGCTTTATTTAAAAGTGGTTTTCATAGCAAATAATTCTATTTAGCAAAGTTTTCTTGTGCATTTACTAGGCCAGTTTTACTAGTAATATACATTGAAAGTGTAATAGAACATTGTCTGAAAATAAAATTTCCCAACTGAAAATTGAATCTCTGCACATCAGATGTATTTATTCATTTTGTAGTGGAAAATTGTTCATGTTCTTTGACTTCTTGAATATAAGGGAGAAACTTATGAAGTTTAAACAAATATTATTCACAGAAAAACAAAAGGCCAAGTTCAATCCGAAAAACAACCCTAAAATGAGCATCAAATTAAAGAATGCATCAAATGCATAAAACAATAAAAGATCTTCATAATATTTACCCAGTTTTTCTTTGTCTACTAATTGAAAATCCAATTATCAAAATAACAAGAACAACTGCTACTAAAGCACCAATTACCATAGCAACGATGACACCAGTTGATAAACCTAATAAGAAACAAAAGATGTACGAAATTATGTTTGAATTAATATTAAGAAATATACAATTATACATTGGTATTCGAATACCTTATTGTAACCATGGTTACAGTACCATTAACTATTTTGTGAACTCTTATTGATGTTTTTCTGCATGATTTGGTATTCCCTACAAATATAAAAGTGATTTTTTTTTTTAAGAATGAAAAATCTGCTTTATTATAGAGCTTAACATATTGAAGAATATACAAACAAAACATAGTTATTGTCACAAATACATAAATGGTAAATGTGATACTCTTCAGGAAATGTGTTTGGATATGATATCAAAAATGACATACACTGTAACCTCAATATAATGAACACCTTTATAATGAATTTACTGATATAATGAACACATACCAGTAGCGTGTCTCCTTCTCACAACAAACCCAATGAGTTATGTGCTTCATTATAGTGAACATTTCACTATAACAAACTAATTGTATGTCCCCCAAAGAGTTCGTTATAACAAGGCTACAGTGTACATACATTTTACAGTAATCTTCTAAAATTAATTTCTATTTTGGCGTATTTTTTAGTAATTTTTTTAATTTTTTTTTTATGAGCTGGTTTTCGAAATAAAAGCTAATATTATATTATTATTATAAATGCAATGATAATTTTCTGTGAAGATAAGGTACAAGATTTGTCCATTAGCTTGTCACTACTGCATTGGGTGAAAGGTAAAAACAAACTGGTAAACAAAAAACTTGCATGCAGTTTTAATTTTCATTGAAACCAAAAATTCTTTGAATTCATACCTGTTTCATCTTGGGTGACTTCATGCCAATCCAATACGCAGTCAAAGACGCATTTATTGTCAACAGTGTGAGTCTTGTTAAAAATCTTGATATATTTTGTCTCTGTGATGTATTTAGTGTAGTTAGCAAGTAGATATGTCAGTTGCACTTCATTCATTGCGATTAGGTTGGCATCATATACAACACTGCCGCATATTATCTCAGAATCTGGAATCAAATTGCGACAAACCATGCATGGCACAGTCCCCGTTAGTTATCAAATTTAAGAAATATAGTTTTGTTTATAGTAATATAGCTGGAATACAACCATGTCAGGAATATGATTTTTTTAAGATTAAAATGATTGACATTTGTATCGGTACTTGACCATATTGAGAGAAATTGCTCTGGAACAGCATTCAAAATCAGCCATTTTGAATACATGTATATATATAACATGATGTATAACAAATATATAAAATTTAAATATAATAAGTCAAAGCATTTAGGAGATATGGCTCTAGAAGCCCAATCATTAAAACAAAATGGCCACCAGTCAGCCATTTTGAATCCAATCTGAAAAATAAAATGACGAGCATCAGGAACCCGTAATGTCTCATGTATATACCAAGTTTGAACGAAATCCACCCATAAATGCTTGATATTTGATGATTTTTTAGGTAAAAAAATGACCACCATTCGGCCATTTTGAATAGGATAGTCAAACCAATATATCTGTTTATCTATGACATGATGTATAATGAATATTTCAAATTTGAAAATATTATCAGTCAAAACAAGTCGGAGTTATGGGTCTAGAAGCCCATTCATTAAAACAAAATGGCCGCCAGACAGCCATTTCGAATTCAATCTGAAAAATAAATGATGTGCATCAGAAACCTGTAATGTCTAATATATGTACCAAGTTTGAACGAAATCCATCCATAAATGCCAGAAATGCTTGATATTTAATGATTGTTTAGCACAAAAAAGGCCACATTT